CTTGATCAAGTCAGTTCCTAACTTGATCAAGTCAGTTCCTAACTTGATCAAATCAGTTCCTATCTTGATCAAGTCAGTTCCTAACTTGATCAAATCAGTTCCTAACTTGCCCAAGTCAGTTCCTATCGTGGTCAAGTTAGTAACTAACTTGACTACCCGAATATAGACGACCAAAAGGCATTTGGCGATCTGCATTTCGGTAATTTTGATTTCGACGATCTTGGTTTTTGGTAATGTTCGTTTCGGCGATGAGGCATACAACCAGTTATTTCATAAAAATTTCTGATTAAGATTCTATATTATATGTGTTATTTCTAAAGTAAAGCGCTCGAACTTCAACTCAAATATAAAAGTAGGTTCATTAAGTAATAAAATTGAATATGACATTGATATGTTCTTTTGCAGACGATGACTTCAAAAGTGACAATGATCTTCGACTGGCTTGTCTTATGCTTCATCAACAGGTGAAATTGATCAATGGAAATGAAAGTAATTTACTTGTTCCTCAAGATTGGATGAAACAATACATGGAAGATCAAGAACAAGATATGAATCACTCTGCATTGCCACAACCACAAATTTCACAGCCACAAATTAATAGTATGTATATTATTTTCTATTATGAAATTTTCATTTTTATTTATATTAATAAAGATATCGAAACTCCGAAAGTTTTGCCATCGATCGCAACAGGACCTAAAATAATACCAAAATCAGGTATGATTATTAAACCAAATTTCTTCTATCTATCTACTTCTTATCTTTTAATATTTCAGAAGAAGCAATGCTATGTGTACTTTGTCTTACAACAGAGCGTCAAGTGGCGTGTCTCCCATGCGGTCATTTGGCATGTTGTGTAGCATGTGGTCATAGTTTGAGCGTGTGTCCAATCTGTCGAGCAGTCGTGAAAGCGTTTGTTCGAATTAGCGTCTGAACTTTGTTTCTACTATCCTGTTTATTAGTATATGTCGTCTATGTTCAACTTAGTCTCGAACGGAATATCCAATAACGGTTAAATTTTGTGTATGCAATGATCAAAACTATTTAAGTCGAAATTTGTATATACATATATCTGTAAAAATGAAACATTACCTTTTGTCTATATCAATTGTCAATCGTTTGACAAAAATAGTACACTAAAACATAATAAATGAATAAGATAAAAAGATTTTATGAGTCAATAATAGATAAATAAGAAAAACAAATTTTTCTTTGTATAATCACTATCGAAAGGCTATATTGCCTATGCAGGAAAAGTTTTTCTGTCACATCAACATAGAAAAAAAAAAAAAGAAAGAGTTAGTACTCATAAAAAGTTTCTAAATTAACGGAATGATGTTCTTTTATTTTTTACTACACTCTTCGGACTAACACACCTGGTGAATATCAGAATTCATAGTTCAGTACACCTCAATATTATCTGTAAAATTTAATTATCTGAAGTAAAATAATACAAAAACTACTAAAGATTCTTTTACTACTAGCATTCTTGAGCCGAGAAATGCCAAAGAAAATAATCCTCTTTTTAATTACATATGATATCGGCATTCAATTTAGGAAATTTCTGTATCGATAAAAGTTTAATCAGATAATGTACCAATAAGAAAATTGTCTTACTACATCATTGAGTCATAGGGGATGGGTATTTTTCAAAGGGTAAGAAGATGAGGAAAAAAATACGTACATGTAAACCAAATAAAGATGTAAAGAATATTCAGCAATAAAGAACATCCAGGGTTTTGTTAGGTATATTGTCAGTTAAAAGGTTTTTGCCGAGAGATACTTGATCTTCCACAGTAGTAGAATATAAAAGAAATTTTATTATGAGAGTTGTGAAGGCGTGAGTAAACTGGATACCCAAATCTTCACCCCATATCCATGTATCTGAAGTTCTCATTCAGTTGTCTTGTTCTCAACATTTGTTTTGAGGATGAGAAAATAAATAAAAGAACAAAATGATGATCTTTCAGCGAAACATTTCATCGACAAGATACTTTATGTCGAATAATATCATTCAATTAAAAGCATAGCGTGTTGCAGGATTTTAAGCATATAAAACAATATGCCGAGTAAGACAGTCTCTTGAATACATATAAAAATTCAATATGTGAGTCTTCAATCTTTCTTTTTCAACATACACCTTTTAGCCATTAGACAATGTGTTGTTATCATGACACAATATTAATAATAAATGATGAATATTTTATTGGAACGATTCTATAATATTCAGTAATCATAACGTGAGACGAAGCACATCAATTGTCGATCATAAGTTTTTCTTAGACGAAATCGTTCTTATTTTTCAAAACGAAAACAAAATTGAAATTATTTATCTTATTCTTCAAATATTTCAGTGTATGAAACAGTCGTTTTCTTAGTTTTTTTAAAATCTATTCAGCGACGTATAAAAATTCTCATTATTCATTTCAAAAAAAAATGAATCGCCCATACTTTTTACAAATTTCACTTATAATAGCTTTGCTTATTGCATACATATCATATTTTATTCTAATCATGAAATTTTTTTATATTAACATATAATCAAGAAATAAATGAAAGTTTAAATAAATTTTATTAATTATAAGCCTTTATTATACTGTATCTCGAAGCTGTTCAGTGAAGAAATAGGGAGAAAAAAAGGACAAGTACATGATATAGCGTTAATCGAAGAAAACGAGTCCCTGAAGGGAGGACCCAAACAAAAAAAAAACTATAAAAAATATAACGATGTAATTGAATAGTAATTTGCTGTTCATGATTATATAAGATGTTACGCATAGGAGTTCGAGATCGAATATTAGTCAATACATAACTAAGAAAAGATCTGTAAAACGCTTGAGTATTAATTTTATACTCAAGATATGAAAAATTCTGAATATTCAATAAACGATACCCCAAAAATTTGAATTATTATTCTATTCGAAGGTTTCTTCTTTAATACAAAATACAAGATATAAAATAACAGATCCTATATTTGAAATTAAATACATTACTTAATTTTTTTTATCGTTTTCATGGCAGTATTCATTACTTTTTTCCAACTAAGCAATGCACATTTAACTATTTCAATATATGGAAAACTTTTAAAAGCAATAACAATTAAATAATGCATAATAATGATGTTGATTACCATATTTTTTTTTCTGTTCGTTCTTTTGCTTGACTAGTAATCAAACATGACGAAATAAAAATGAATGTTTCATATAGGTTTTTTCAAACAGGACAAAACACATGTCTTTATTAGTCATACTTGAATGTATAAATGACATAGGAGAGTTGTAATTTGATGCTAGGTTTTGATTGGCGTAAAATTATGTCATTGAGCAAAGTCATTTGTTTTTCTTTTCTTTCCAATGTTGATGCAATGAGTTCGAAAAAAAATCATAACACAATTATGAACAGAAACCTTTTTCTTTTTTAATAAAGTATCTTATTGCTTATTAAGAGCATTAAAAATAAAATAATTACGTCACGTTCAGTGTTTCATGCTTTTATTTCAAATCTATTAGCAAAATTGCTATGTTTACAAACGTTCATTGATTTGGAAAGTCTTTTTTTTCACGGAGATTTAGTAGTCATGAAAATAGTCAATGTCTGCTGCAGTACGATTACTTTAGATTATTCGTCATGATTTTTATCAATTTTTCTCCAGAATCTAAATAGAAAATATTTTAGAAAGTATTCTCTGTTAAATATGAGACTTGTATAATCATGCCAATCTTACAAGTGGTACACTATCTTTAATTCAAACATATAAGATAGTAGAAAAAAAGTTTAATATCAACCTATTTTTTATATTTTTTTAACATATTGAGTATCTAGTTCAAACCGAGATAATGATTTAAATAGCCAACAGAGTTTTTCATCGAATGCATTCTATATTAAGCTTCCATAGATGAACAATGATGGTAAGATCTATCAATAAAACCGAACATAGTAATTTACAAGTGCTAGGAAACTTTATTAGAGTTATATTTTAATAATGCTATTTCAAAGAGCACAAAATCCTGAACAAAATGAGACACTGCTACATTTATTATGAGCTTCTCTTTAAAAACTATAAGTGTAACAAAAATTGAAATTTATCAAGAAATCGACTAAACAAACCTTCTCCTGATTTTTTAGTATTACTTTTGTTTTTTTAAGGAGGAATGGTAGAAAATGCAATAAACCGTCATTTTTTTAGGATTTTTTTGTGGATGTTTAAAATGATATTGTTTACAATTAGTGCAGACAGAGTTTTCTAGAACGTAAAAATTAATATGTACACTTATTTTTAGAAATCTTGCCATCATATTTCATTTATGAAATCTCTCTATAGAATACATTAATACATTATTGTTTAAATTTCTTTTTTTACCATTGTAGATATGTTCAATTTTAGCTTTTTGTTTTTTTTCTGCTATCATAAATCAATAAGCCAAAAATTGTATAACAAAACCATAAGCGATCAAGGAAAATAGTGTTTTTTGTCTATTTCTTATTCCATATATAGTTCAATTTTTTGCTGTTGTTGGTTGTGTAGCTCTCAAAAAACACAAATACTGAAAGATACAGAAGATTTACATTCTCTCAATCATTGAAAACTATTGGTTATTGTCAAATAGAGCTGCTAATAATGTTTGAAAATTTTTTAGAGACACTTTTTTACATACATCTCACCACAAGTTTTTCATGCTTTCAAAAAGCCCATTGTTGAGTTTTATGCTCTCGAACTGAATTGATGTTCACTTTGGTATTACATTTAAATTTTGTTGGATATCATTTTTTGTCAAAAAAGAAGTTTATAATCATATGATGCATTCATTACAAATTTATAGTAACAAATCAATAGTAGACTATATGTTTGTTTTAAAAAGATCTTATTTTTGACAATAAAAACTGTTTTTCTTTTGTCACTGGAATCGGAAGCATGATTTTATTCAGTAAGAATATGAAGTACCATTGAACGATATTGGTGTCTTACCAAACGTCTAAGTCGTCGGATACAATATCTGTATTTATTATTTAGATCTTTTATGATTACATTTATGATAATATTGATTATTAAAAATCTTGACTTTTATCAAAGTCAATAGATTCACAGGATCTGAAATGTCTAACAATCAAAAAGAAAAGATATCGTTTATCTATGCGTGCTTTTACTTGATTTTCAAGTTTTTAATAAATCTAAATTAACTATCGCTTGGATACTGCAATGAATACATCATATAAAACAAAACAAAAAACTGAATATTTTCTTTTAGATATGCTCTAATTGATTGAATTGTTTTTATTAGACCTGAAAGCGATCATATAATACTATTCGAGAATTACAATCTGAACAACATATAAACATTCTCAGAATCAATATAGTTAAAAAAGAAACATAGCACTTTATTATTTAATCTAGTTCTCATCGATGCTTAAGTTTCTTTTGTTAATACATAAGCCTATTGAAAAGTTTAACAATAATTTATGTATTGAATTTTTCTTGAATATCTGAAAGTATTTGTTTATTTAAAATAAACTAAATATGTTATAAACTGAAAAAAAAAACACATAAATTTATTATATATATCTATTTCGTAGTTTATCAGCTAACATCGTAGTATTCATAACCACGTGCCTTAATAGTTCATTACATCTAATCAAGGGCATGTGATGAATACATACATGTTGCCTTTAGTTTCCTTTTTTTGTTATATAAAAGTTTCACAAGAAAACTTACTTTATGATTTACATTCCAACTGACCATTTCATGTTGTTCTTAGTCCATTGAAGTATATAAATGCCAGTATGGTCGACTAGCGGCATACATCAAGTTGATTTGTGACGACGACAACGAACAAAATCGAGTTTGTTACATATGGTACGATGTCTTTTTTTCCTCTCTCCGGATATCATAATTTTTCTTCTTTTTTCAATCAATCGACCAAAATAAGATTATCGATC